GAAGTCCTGCAATTTCCGCCTCGCGCTGCTTAGCGACGATCATGCTTTCATGCTTGGCCCGGAATTTGTCAGCCAACATCGCCACTCTCACGCTCTCCATTGCTTGATCAACACTGAGAGACATGGCCTGCTCCTGGGGGCTGTTTGGTACCGAAACACTGGGTCGTAGCTTTCTTCGAGGTTTAGCCACACGGTGAGATGCGTCCTGGTGGGAGATTCGATGTAGAACAGCTTCAGAATCCTTTGGCAGTGGGGCAGACTGTTGACTTCTTGCACATATTTCGGGCTGCTGCAGCTGATTGGACTGGATGGCCGCAGCAACCGACTCGTCATTGTCTGGGATATGGAGACCAAAGTCCTGAGCCGGCAGTGGAGTACGTTCTTCGGCGGATGCCAGCCCGCGATCCTGATAGTGAACATCTGCGAGCGGCTGTTGCTCGCGCTCCGCATCGTCCACTTTCGGAGGCAAAGTCGATGTCACAAACATAGAGGACGTGGGGAACTCGCGCTGAGCGGAAGACTCTGGAAATTCTTGGAAAGTCGTGTCCGGAATGGTCTGAGTGGTGTTGCAGGACTCCTCAACGTGGGCGACACACTCATGCTCTTTCACCAGCGGAGACTCCTCAACGTATGCATGCCCATTGAGGTCATTGATAGGGGCAGGTGCTTGCAATGCATGAGATTGCGATGTATGGACTGTTGCGTCGTCGGTAGCAAGGGGGTTGTTGGATGTCTCGGCGACTGGTTTGCCCGTCGTCATGGCCTGTTGAGCGTGCCGTGCCAGAACGTTTGATCGAGGAGGTCGTTGGCCTTCACGCTGCTGAGAGAGCTGTCCTTTTCTCCCTTTCTTGCTCTTCTTGACAACACGGGCCTTACTAGCTCCAGGAGCCGGCCTTGCGTCGGGCTGTGCGGAAGGAGGCATTTTAGACGGCGTGTCCGGTTGGGTAGGTCTACGTAATTCAGTGGAGTTCTGGGCGCTTGCTATGAGCTCTTACAAAGGATATGCAGACTCGTTCTGTGACTCTTTGGCGGCCGGCTGTTGGAAGAGAAGTACTTCCTGATCGGTAACAGGATTTGTCTTGTGGCGATCGTCGTTGCCCGGAAAGATTGGTGGTGAGACGTACGCAGGCTCTGTTGCTACACTGGCATCTACTCGCATGTTAGTCGGATCGGTTGAAATGGCGTGATTGCTTACCCTGAGATGCGTGCACAACCTGCTTGGGAACACCAGATATTGTCGACTCAGTATTAGGAACAGATTTGGCGGTAAAGGCCTTGTCCTTGGGGGATGCCTTCTTGGGGACTTGGCTCGGTTGCGAACGTGTGAAAGCGAACGTGGGTACATCTGCTGGTCCAGAGTTATTGTTCAATCCGGGTGTTTCTTTGGTGCGAGTGCTGAGAGCAAATGGAACCCAGGTTGATGTATGAATGTCCGCCTTTTTCGTTACTGCAGTGCGCTGCAATAATTCTGCAGTACCGGGACTAGTAGGCAGGTCGCTGAGGTCCGGCTCACGCTCGGGAGTGAAGTCATTACGAACGTAGTATCCGTCCTGATTCGGCTGAGTCTCAGGAACAATTGCATCGCTGTTAGGTTCTTGGGGGGCAGGCTGCTTGCGATCTCGCTCGTCATCGGTTGACTCTGGGCGTACTTCATGTCTGAGTCGTGAAGGTTTCTGCCTCCTTGGCACCTGCTTGCCTTGTCGAGGCAACTCGGCCATGATGAGTGATAGCACTGCCAGGCACGTTCGGACGCAAGGAAACCGTAGTGGAAACAATGCAGGCAGAAGATGAGAAGCGACGTGCTAGACGACTGCACCGGTAGACGAAGATGAAGTGTTATGGGACAAGAGTGAGGGGCGACGAGGTTTGCAGCGGCGCCCTGCCTTCGTTCTTTCCTTCATCGACGCGAGGGAGTCACGGCTGAACAGAATGACGCCACACGTTCGGTCATGACAACTGAGAAAGACATCGTGGAAGGCGCGATGGAAAGAGGAAGAACACCCACATCACATACCTGCATAGAACCAGTGAAGCACCTCCTCACGGCGGACATATTTCACACTGCAGTATGCTTTCCGGACGCATCTTCCAGATCATGCATCGGATCCATGTCTGCCCACAGCCATTCGATCGATGAGTGTCTGCCTGCAGTTTGCTGAGCTTGCTATGAAGCTCTGCAGCTGCCATTACAACCATCCAGCATGTTCCTGCTCTGTACCCCGCGCGGCCACAGGCATGTGACGGTAGACAAAGAACATTGGAAGGCGAACCTTTGAGCCCTGGAGGGGTGAGTACTTACTCCAAAGTCGCCTCATGCAGCGCACCACATTGGTCATCGCGGTGCACCCCTCCGATAGCGTGCATCGACCAGAATCCCCAGGTTAACATCGTACGATAATTGTCCCTAGATTAGAGAAGGGCATGTCGCCTGCCATGTGATTACTTTTTTTACTTCGTCTGGTCCACTTTGCGCCGAAACGTAGGTGGCTAACGTGGACTGCACCGGAGATGAGGAGCCAGAAATACCTTGATACCACGGGCTCACTGACTACAATAAGCGGCAGCTGCTACATGTGCGCCGTGAGGTGGACGATGGGAGTCGTCGCCTTGCAGGCTCCCCTGAAACGAAAGTGTGCGGCGACATAGCTAGCCGGGCGCTTCAGACCGGGGTGCGTCCAATCACATTTTACCCCTTGCTAGCTCCTGCACGGTGATCTTCGTCTATACAGCTACGCGCCCACTACCCAGTACGACCTACCAATCCTTTCGGCTTATCCTTCCAAGCCGACAAAACTCGACGCCAATGCCGCTATATTAAGAGAATGGCCTGATGTACTCTCCGGCGGCCAACCTGGTCTGCCGTCCAAGCGCACGATGCTAACCGCCGAGAAGCCCTGAGACTGGCGGGGTATTGGACGAGTGGTGGCGAAGGTATTGGCTTGGATAAAAGATGTTCGCAGGTGGCCACGCAAATATAGAGACATGCCCTCCGTTCTGGTAGCGAGTTGTTGGTATTCCTCCAGTTGATCGAACGTCCTTCACGCCAGCCTCGTGTCACCTCATATCCGATCCATCCTCCCGTCCACGCCGCATTCCACGGCACATCGACATCATGAGCAGGCCTCTCCTCCTCTCGTTCCTCCTCCCTCTGCTCGCCCTTGCTCAGGACTCCTCCTCGGGCAGCGAGCTTCCTCCTCCCGGCTACAATGGCGGTAGCGACAACCCGCAAGACCCCAGCGATGCTGGCGCTGCGGGAACACAGAAGGGTGCTTTCTCGCTCTCGGGAGGTGCTATCGCAGCGATCATTGTGGTCGCCGTCCTAGTCGTGCTCGGATCCAGTACGTTCTACACATCACGTCCCAGCATACTCGAGCTAACATCAACACAGTCGCATCGGGTGTACTCTGGTGGCTCGCGAAGAAGCGCCAGTGGGACGTTCGCGCATCCATTCGCCGTGCGTCTCGTCGCTTTACTGGCCGCGCGAACAACGACGCTGGCAAGCAGAACCGCGAAAACCGAAGGACAGGCATCAGGCTCAACTCGCCACCCCCGGGCAAGAACGCCAACAAGATGCGCGATATCGAGAAGGGCCTTCCTCTGTCCAACAAGGCACCACAAACTACAACTACCATCACGAGCGTGATGAGGTGAAGCTCCGAAGGCATAGCATAGACTATCTGGAAGCAACACCAGCGCCGCCACGCGGGTCGAGGCACCCGTCGACACGAAAGACGACGGCAGAGTTTGGAACTGGACGCCTCGCAACTTTTGTCCTTCGGAACGTGCGCACGCATACCGCATCCTTCATGCGGCTTATCATAGCACGCAGGGCATGAATCTTTCGGGCGTACACGAATATTACGGTAACGACAGCACCCGGGAAGCGGTTGATGGCTGCTTAGGACTCCGGAGTACTTGCACTTTGGGCGTCATTATTTTCTTGTCAACATATTATGATACCACGCTTTTTCGGACGTATGGATAATGGACGCATCGGTCAGCGTCGATGGAGTCAAGACGTAGACCGTAGATTTCGATAGCACCCAAATATAACTATAACCACGATTGTAAAGATCTCAATACTTCTCTCTATCTTTCGACATATTTAAGGTAGGGGCTTCGAGCCCGGGAATACTGAAATAAGAGCCTCGAGCCCGGCAATACCAAGGCCTATTATGAGACCACGCCAAGTCAGCGACCGCCCATCTGACCACAGGCGCTTGGCCAAACGTCCAGGAATAGCCCGTCACTTGGCCATTGCTTGGAGATTTCTTGGGGAAAGCTTGGGCAAATGCCCAGTGATAGCTTGGAGAAAGCTTGGGAAAGGCTTGGGAAAGGCATGGTATATGCAGAGATGATCCGACCCTGATCCTACTATCCCGGTGCTGTGGTATGCGCCCGACTGGGCACCCAGTTTATTTGCCGGCTTTGCATGACTGCCGTAGGTCTGACCCAGGATTAGAATAACGGTGATGGGGCAGGGTATGTGACGAGATCGCTTCGTGCAGTTTAATTTCCGAGAATAGTTCGCTGTGCCGCAGAGCTACATCGCGGAAGCACCATATACAAGGGAACGACTAAACTGGTGTAGAGCCTACGTTGACGTTAGGTCACCAGCTTTGCGTGTTTTTATCTTGATGTAAGCTCCATAGTGTTCGGATGTTTCCTTGAACAAGGCGGAAGGAAGACCGGGAGGCAGATCGTGACTTGGACACGGTGACTCGAAATCCTTCTCTGTGACATCTATCCAAGAATCGAGAGCTGTAGACTATGGATGGGTTGATGTTTACGAGATTGACACCCCGATTTGTGACCTTGCGACAAGAGGGCGGCCACAACCTCTCAATCTGCAGCACGTGACCTGGCGAGCACGCTAGTCCTAAAGCATTTCTCCCGACGCGTTCCCCGCATCATCGTGTCTGGCGCCATTTCTGCCCAACGCGACACCTGGGCAGCACCACATCGCATTTACATAGCAAAATCGCACTGAACAGAACAACATGGCCTCTCGACACCGAACTACGAGGCCATCTGCTAGTCGCCCGTCTGGAGTTTCCACTCCAGCGCGAACTGCCGGTAGCAACCGCAGCGCAGACGTCCTTCCACCGTACAAGAAGCCATCGCATCCCCTCGATACCGAAGCGACGCGAGCCCTGAGGGAACTACAAGGTCGCAATATTAATGACATCAAGAGGCACAATAAGCAGGCTACCGAGCATGTCACCAGTACAGCGGCAAACATTAACGACATGCTGCGCGACCATGCTGGGTATATCGAGCGACGGCAGAAGAAGTGGGACGTGGGCAAAAGTCTGGACGACAAAGACGAAGAAGAAAGTATCATGGCAGAGCTCCAGACCAATGTGGATGGGGCTACCACCAAGCTGGAAGAAAGCATGCGCGCTGTCATCGACTCGGGTGTCGCCGCGCAGCGCATCGAGGAAGCGCTGGAGTGGTTAAGGAACACTGCGCCCGGACGGTCGGCAGACGAATATCGGACGCAGATGACACAGCGGGAGACACAAAGGCAAACCCAGACTCAGGCAGCAAGCCAGCGGGCACAAAACGAGGGTGACGACGAGGATATGGACGACAGACCTACGCCCGGTCCTACACCCCTCGATGGCTCTCGCGTAGCTCTCACAGGCGCAAGTGAGCTGTTTGCGGATCGTATGCAGCGCGACAAGGATGCCTACACGTCACTCTCCTACACAGCGCGCTATGCACGCAACAACGATTACCGCGAATTCAAGCGCACGGTACACGATGCCAAGTATGGCGACGAGGGTCCCACACTTGGTCATGAAGACACCTGGTTCAATGAGTCCGGGTCCCCAGCGCCTGGCATTACGGACACACGCCGAGGCGACCTCGACGACGACGATGACATTGTAGTAGACAAAGCGACCATCAGCACGAGGTGCCCCATCACATACCAGCAGTTCAAGGACCCCTACACAAGCACAAAGTGTCCTCATACCTTCGAGAAGAATGCCGTTCTCGATATGATACGATCGGGCGGTCACAGGGTGGACGGTCAGAGAGCCATTGAGTGCCCAGTCAATGGTTGCTCACAGGTAAGTCTATCCCCCGCATTTCAATATTCTCAGAGACCTATGCTGACACTGCTTCTTAGTTGCTGACCAAAGACGACGTGCGCAAGGACACTATTATCGCTCGCAGAATCAAGCGCATGCTAGCAGCTGAACTTGAAGGTGACGACTCCGACGACGAGGTGCAAGCTCCTCGTGAGGCTCAACAAGTTGATGGGAGCGACGATCTGTCTGGATCGACACCGAGACTGCAGGTATCGGGGACTCAACAGCCGCCAGAGTCGAGCATTATCGAGGACCTCGGATCTCCGAGTGATAGCGAGATGTCGGTTTAGCCTATGCACGATGGGAATGGCGTTTCGGTTTCGGATGGGCTCAATGATACCCAAAGGTGCAAATACGTAGTTGCATTTCAGCGGAATATGTTGAGACAACAGACAGGCTGCGCAATCTATGCGGCATAGTACTTGTCCCGTAGTCAGGCATCAATCTTCTCAACAGTACCTGCGCAACCCTTTCGTTTCTTCTGCAAGCGTTCAGGCCGGCCGGGCACCTCCACATTCCCGACCCTGTGCCGAAGACTAGTTGACCTACCATTCACCCACGGACATTGTGTTGGCCTAGATCTGGTGCCCTGCATGACATTTCGCTACAATATTCTTCCGCTCACAAAGTAGTTCACAGCCTGTCGTCACTCAGAATGTCTTCGGCCGCGGATACCTTCGGGTCACTGGTGGTTGCAACTTCAACCGCGCACCTGGGCGAAAGGCCTCAGCACCGCCCCGTCCAACGCTGAGGACCCTGATCTCGCCCAAAAGAAAGCGATCTCGCCAGTTCATTCCGATCTGCGACACGGCGGTATATCAATACCCAACGAATGAAAAGCAATGCGCGTACACGCACGTCGGGTTGGAACGACGCACGGATGCACGTTGTGCGCGCGGAAACCGCAGTCTCATCCGGAAAAGCACAGTGAGGTCACTGCGCCTAGTAACAGGGTACCGCAACCACAACGTGGTGTACTGCAGCACAGGTCCGCTCACAGTATTGTCCATGACATGTGACAGGATGCGCTGCGTTGAAGTTGCGATCGTTCGATTGGCCGAAGGCTGCCGTTACAACAAACGTCATCGCTCACATGCAAGCGGTTCCGCATGTGGCGCACTGGAAACGGGATACTCTGTGCCTGAAGATCGTGTGTTACTCGAGCAAGACATTGCGCAATGGTATGAGAGCCTCAACGGTGCAAGGCAGACCGGATGGCATGGACACGCGACATCAATGCGCCCAGCTCGTCCCGCTCCGCCGTGCACGTTAAACTTCAACATGGGAGCCTGTGAAGTAAGAATGGCATCAGAGTTCCAGAAATCAGCGTAACCCGATTGGCCCAACAGCAATTGGCATCAGGTAGGACGAGCAGCAGTTCATATCAGTGGCTCGCTGGGGCAGCTCTGCGATGCGGGGAAACGCAGCCCACCCCTCAGTTCATGGCACCGGTCGACTGGCTGGGCCTGTTGACAACTAAGAACAACAGATCATCGTGCTGCTTTTGTCCTCCGAGCCTCTTCACTCACAGCCTCGTCCATAACTCCATCTTATCTGCTACTTCAATCCAAGTTGCATCGTCGCATAGTCGTTTGATGCTAGGAAGCGGGTAGTCGAGCGCATACCACCCTACCCACTAAACCCGCGACCCACACCCCACTTCTCCGACGCGGACTGGATCCTCCGCACAGACGTCAGCGCACGAGGTACGCACCCAACGTCCCATCTTCCTCTTCACCGTCTTTGAGCATCTACAATGCGATCGCCGCGGGTGCAGTCGGAAAGAGAAGGGTTATCGCACGTGCGCACGCCTTCGGAAATGCACACATGTCCGATAACATTCTTTCCTGTGCGCCGAGCGAAGCTGTACATCTAGGTTGTAGCCGGCTAGCTTGCGACGTCCACGGCCGCGGTGTAAGGCGCATGGGAACTGCGTCTCAGGCTGAGGCTCTGCCAACACCTCACGGACGCACGTCGTAGTGCTATGCTGCTGGGATATAGACCCGGTCATGGAGTCTCTTTTGTGGGCTTTCTTACTTTCTTAGTTACAGTCTTTCTTCACATTTGGTCTATTTCCAGTACAGCATAGCGACAGCGATATACCCCACAGATCTTCCTTTCCTGCATTATCTATTCACATATCAAGACTGCGCAAGCTGTCACTGACAACGCAATGTCGACAACAGCAGCTGCCACTTCGCAAACCCTTAAGATGCCCGCCGCACGCGCTCTCGAGAACGCAAAGCAATCTTCAGAAGCTGTTCTAAGCGACGCATCCTCCGCCATGTCCAAAGCCGCCGAGAACCCCAAGAAGGCCACCGCCGACTTCCTACACACACCCTTCATGCGCGCGGCACTGCCCTTCGTAAACGGCGGCATCGCAGGCATGACAGCAACAACTGTAATCCAACCCGTAGACATGGTTAAAGTGCGCCTACAACTCGCCGGAGAAGGAGTAAAGACCGGCCCTAAGCCGACCCCCGTCACAGTCTTCCGCGACATCATCGCCCAAGGCAAAGTGCTAGACCTCTACACCGGCCTCAGCGCGGGAATACTGCGCCAAGCCGTCTACACAACTGCGCGCCTAGGCTTCTTTGACACATTCATGAAGAAACTAAGCGCGCGCGCCAAGGAAAACGGCACAGCCATCGGCTTCAAAGAGCGCGCAGGCGCGGGTCTAGCTGCAGGAGGTCTCGCCGCCATCGTCGGCAACCCGGCGGACCTCGCCCTCATCCGCATGCAATCCGACGGCCTGAAACCCGTCGCCCAACGCGCAAACTACACCTCCGTCATCGACGCCCTCGTCCGCATCAGCAAGCAAGAAGGCGTCACGCGGTTATGGGCCGGCAGCTACCCGACCGTCGTCCGCGCCATGGCCCTCAACTTCGGCCAATTAGCTTTCTTCTCTGAAGCCAAACAGCAGCTCAAGAACACGTCTTTGTCGTCGCGCACACAGACTCTTACTGCATCGGCGGTTGCGGGCTTCTTTGCGTCGTTCCTGTCGTTGCCGTTTGACTTTATGAAGACGAGGTTGCAGAAGCAGACGAAGGGGCCGGATGGCACCATGCCTTATAAGGGTATGTTCGATTGCTTCAGGAAGGTTGCGAAGGAAGAGGGGCTTTTGAGGTTTTACCGTGGCTTTGGGACGTACTATGTCCGTATTGCGCCGCATGCGTAAGTTGTTGTCCTTTGGCTTGATGTGAGGGTGTGTGCTAACGAGAGTGATAGGATGGTGACGCTTATTGTCGCCGATTACCTGGGCTTCATCACGAAATAAGAGTGATGAGATGGACTGTTTTCTTTTATCAGGATGTGGCGTTTGGATTGAGGGTTTGATGGCGTTTACACGTGGCTGCTATCGCCATTGATGTTGTCTCGGCATTGTCTTTTCTCTTTGAACCGTCGTTCATTCACGTATCCTTCCGACGGAGGCGTCCGTTGATCGCTCAGGACTAATGCATATGGTACGCTGCCATGTTTGCGCACGCACGCATGCTGCCAGTATACGGATGTCTCAATGTGTGTATCGCGACGTGACACAAGGCTGTACTCATTCTAGGAAGAGTATTTTTTCTCGAGGAAATTATTGGAGTAGGCCTTCAATGTAACGCGTTAGGAAAAGGGTTTCTGTTATCACAATGATTCTGCAACTACTGGATTTTTAGTTGAGTATGCTTCGTGACTTTGAGTGACGCTCCATGAGGATCGCGAGTTCAAGGTCTGAAAAATGGTCTTGCGCTGTAGTTGGGTGTCGATACTTAGTGATACCTTGATCAGCTAGCTACACGCCACTTGACATTTCCTTCGCTAGGGTGGGGTTCTTGGAGTCAGGACATTTATCATTCGAGAGCAGCTCCTCGCGCATGAATTGCTGAATAGGTGATTGGCTCGCTGCCTCTGGGTCATCACAGTCTTAGCGGAGGCGGTCTTGTGAGGTGTCTGAGCTATCATAGATGTATTGCAACTGCCAAGGAGCTAACTAATAACGAAGGTGACGGGATTCGTGACGTTTCAAGCTACCAGAGGACCATCATGACTACAAGATAAACCAGACGACCATAGAAACACTCAGTGCGGCGCCGAAAATGGCACGAGGGGACGTATAGAGACTCATAGCCGCACCACGTTCCGCGAATACCATACACTTGCCTGTTCGATCGCTCTCCTTTCGGGCTGGCGCGATGCGAAAGCTGCGTGCACCGTACTCCGAAGTACTGTAATTGCCTTCTTCCTCGCTCCAGCAGCTGAAGCCATACCAGGGAACAGGGGGATTTATCGGGAGGTCACTGGTAGGATCCCAAGTATCACAGCCTTTAGCAGGATAAATAGAGACTGAGCGATCCGCGTACTTGTTTGTCTCAGCGGATAGTACCGGGCGTAGATGATAGAGAACACTGGTGTAGTTCACCTCGGGGCTGTATAACTCGGCGTTCTCCACTGCCCAGTAAATGCCTGCTTCGCCTGAAAGCTGCCCGAGGGCCCAGCTTGTGTTCGCAAAACCCTGAGTGGTGTTCCCGCCAAAGACGTCTTCCATCTCGAAGCAGTACTCGCCGAGGGGGACGGTCGATGTCGTAAAAGTCAATGCGCTACTGCTGTTGCGGAAAGAGCATGTTTCGTCTTGGCTCTCTTGGAAGAAGCGAACTGTCAAGTTGTTGCCACTTTGGAGTCAGTTCATGGGTTGTGGGTATGCACAGAGTAAGTGATAAGTACCTTACGATGTCATATTCGTAGGCGTGAGCGTTGGGTGGAAACAGCAATAGAGCGACCGATGCCAGTCCACTGGCAACTTGCAGGAGAGATAGCATACGAGATTGATGCATAGTCTGGTAGTGATATCCGTTTCGAGTGTATTTCGTATTCCGTCAGTAATGGCCTGTAGGTAGTTCGATCGTCCGGAGAAGAAGAAGCGGAGAAGTCTCAGATTGTACATGCAGCTGAGATGTGTGTTGCGCGAAGCCCTAGCATAATAGAACCACAGTCTGCCGAGTTGACATCGTCCCAGTGCTCATCTGTGAAATTCCAACCACATGATGCATGAGCCGGTACCCGTCGGGCGGTGCCCGGCTGAGTTGGAATGCCCTTTCCAGCATTCGCCTATTGGCGGTTAATATGATTTGACGTGGCGCCAAGCCTGGGGATGCCTCCCGAGGTCGCCAAGCTCCCGCTCGCCCCGCGGGCCAAGATGCTTATGTGGCACAGTCCGCTAGGCGTTATGTCATAACTATACGGAACTCTAATCACACCCTGCATTGGGATACGCTCGGTGAGCCCGTTGCTAACTGTGTGGCACAGTCGTTCCTTGCCGATTTATCCATCTTGGTAGAGCGCCAAGATCTCCCCAAGGAAAGGTGCCAGTGGGAATGAGAGCCAATCATCGTGCGCGAAGTTAGAATGGGCTGGATTCCACTTCTGAATCTTCTTGTAAGACTTGTGCGTAACCTTCGCGGCCCGCCTTGCAACGCTGGTGCGCTTCACCACGCTGACGGCCTCCTCGTCAACATCGACGCAGTCCGAGCTGCCGACGGTCTCGGATGAACAAAGTGGAGTAAGGGTCTTCGTGGCCATATCGCAGAACTGGCCGTCAGATTCAACGAAGTCGAGGCCCCAGGACATGGCTGAGTCGCAGAGTTCTGGGGCCGTTTGGCTGGTCCAGTTGGAGACGATGAGATGTTCGTGCATCCACATAGGGCGTTTGGGGATGCTTCGCTTGGCGGGCTTCGCTGCGTTGGTGATTACCTAGGTAGCCATTTACTCATATGATTCACTGAATGATGTACTCACCTGTCTCCTCCGTAGAGAGTAGAAGCGCATACCACCTCTTTGTCACCAATTGATGTGACGTCCTTGCCATACGCACCAAGGCTGAACTTGAGCGTTGCGTTCACGATATCGTTCGAGACATCTTCGTCAAGCCTGTATAGTTGGAGGTACGAGTTCAGCCTAACTCTCGATCGCAGTCCGTAAAGTCGGAACTCACCCGGTGCACGAAGGGATATAGTCTTTGCCGGTGTCTTGATACGTTCCAGCCTTTTCCTTGCTGTAGTAAAACCTCTGGTCACAGTAGCGGCCTATGTCGCCGGTCCAAGCACCACCCACAGTGCCGTCGTATTGAACGACGCTAACCCACGCGATGCAAGTAGCATCGTCATTGTTGGAAATGCCTATGTATTCCCCTCGTTGGGCCGCAACAGACTGGGAGATCATCAGGTGCCCGCAGGGTCTATCTGACAACCGCCTGATAGACCAAAGAATTCGTTGGCTTGGCCCCATGAGTAGGCACCATTGATAGACCCGCCCTACTTCCTTGTCAGGCTGTGCGACCAACGTTGAGGCATTGATGAGGCAGGACTGACGAGACTGTCTTCGTCGTTGCCAGGATCAGCAAGACCAGCTACGGAAGTAGTATATATTAGTGACGCGATCTCAAATTTATCAAAAATCGTTTCGCATGGATCTCGTACCTTTGATTTTGAGGCTAGTGCCACCAGCATCTTTACCGGGGAATTGAGAGTCGAAGAAGTTCACGAGAGACAGTCCATCGAAGATAAACCTGCTTGTAGCTTCTGCAGCTTCAACACAAACGTGCGACATCGTGATGTTTGAAAGACAAGCAAATCGTGACAATAGAGGAAGCAGGAAAAGGACCGACATCATGATACCATGCGGCCCGGAGAAGCTGGTCTCGCCGCCCACATATACCAGAAACGTTCCAATATACCATCTCTCGTTTAGCAAGCACGCGAGCGAGGACACCGGGGTAAGCAGCCACGAATATCATACCACGTGCTACAGCCATCACATTCAGCGACCCCTCAGTACACAAAGCTAACGACCACACGTCCCATCCACTAACCCCCGCAAACCTCACATCACACAACGAGGCAACATCCCCTCACCTCCTGCCACCACCAATATCCTGGCCCAACCTATACCCACTAATCTTCTCCCACTCAATCTTTTGCCTCGTAATCGGCAACTGCCTCCTCAACGCCTTGAACGCGCCCTCACTCAGACTACCAAACGCCCTGTTCAGATCCTCCTGATACTTCTTCTCCTCGGCCGCAATCTTCCTCACAACCTCGCTTCCGTTCGCACTGGCACCCGCACTGAGGCTAACCTCCTTGGTCGTAAGGAGACGCACGTTGCCGTCTTCGTAGTAGTGCACGTCGACTTTTATGCTGCCGGTGATGGTGCCGGAGGACGTGTCGTAGATGTAGGAGCTGCGCCAGCGGCCGTTCCAGTAGTTTGTGGGGGAGTACTTGTTTGCGACCGTGATGATGGCGAGGGAGGAGGGGGAGGAGGGCACGGGGTACACGCCGTGAGAAGACTTGGGGTAGTGTTCTGAGGCGTGGGTGCTGAGGGACTTGTTTAGGCTCTTGCTGTTGGGATGAAGTTAGGTTAAGCTTTTATGCGGCATGGGTGTGTTGGTAGCCAATGGGTGTGCGCGAGGGATGCGCGGAGATATTGGCTTGGCGGGGGGCGGGGCGGAACGTACAGGAGCTCTTCTTGTGCGCTTTCTACGACGTAACTCTGCACAGCGCTGGCTTTGCCCGTGGCGTGGTCAAAGTCAAAAGAACTTTGTGTGTCGATGTCGTAGTAGCGGCCGTCGCCTAATGAGTTGTACTGGCTGACTAGGACCTCGGTGCTGCCGCCGGGGAGCTTCGTTGTGGTGAATTGCTCCTCGTTGTACTTTTGGAAGGCCGGCGAGAGCTCGTTTTGGACGGCGTCGTCGCCGAGGATTGACTTGATTGCCTTGGTGACATCGGCGAGCTGTGGTGGTGTTAGTAGGTGTACTGGTGGGAGGGGAGCTCTGTTTTGGTGGGGAAAGTACCTCGCCAGGCGGCGCACTGTCGATGAAGGAAGAGAGAGCTGCTGTGCGTGACATAGCTGCGATTTGGCTATGTAGCAGAGGGCGGGTATGCTTCTGTGGTTGTCTCAATTGTTCGGCGCGTCGTGGAGTTGCGGGCAGACGTCGAGGCGCGCAGCCGCTTAGTGGGGCAAGGGCCAGCAGGGCGAACAGGGGTCAAACATCCATGTGCCCATAGTCGATTGCGGAGGAAGCTACGTCAACAATGCAGTGCACGCGGACGATATTCGCAGTTCTTGGTTCATATTGAATTTGGAAATTGACAATGGGTATCTATATATATCGAGCAACCATCGTTGGCCTCATTAACCCTAGAACGCCGCGCTAAGATTGGATCAATGCTAACAATATCCTACAAGAAGTCATATATGGCCATCACTCGATGCTCATCTTCATCAAGCCGTCGTTGGTATCTGTCATGCCCTGCAGACCTATCCGCTTTGGGCCCAGTGTCGGCGTCATGCTCATGCTGCCTCCACTGTTTGAACGCTCACCGTGTGACTGACCGCTGATCGATGTCTCCCGACTGGCTTTGGGATTCGTGCCCCAAAGACTGCTGTCCCTCTGTGCGGGCGACTGCGAGATGACCGGGCTGTTGTGAACACTGAGGCCTGGGGAGACAGCACGCCGTTTGATCGAAGCTTCGTCAAAGTCGTCGTCTCGTCGGCGTTTGTTCGACTTCTTCAACGCCTCAGCCGCTGTGGGAGGCTGCATCGGACCTGGTGTAGATGCTCGGGATGCTCCACCATTCATAGAGGGCGAGTCCATGTTCATGTCCTCGCTCATTGCGGATGACTCTGCGCGAGGGAAGGATGGCGGTGGAGTATGTGCGGCGCGTTGGTTCCAGAATCCGTTGCTTATCGAGTTGCGACCACTGTGAAGACTACCGAATGCACCGAAAAGTCCCTTAGACGTTGATCCGTCCAGACTCATGTTGCTCTCGCTGCCCTCTTCTGGGACACCCTCGAGCGGACCGTCCAGCCCTGGTACTGTGGGTAATAGATTTGGCGATGATTGCGCTGTATTAGAAGGCCGCTCCAGATCCGTGTCGCTCTCTCTCACTTGTCGGATGATCTCGGCTTCGCGGCGGAACTCGCTATCAACAGGTGCGGCTTCTTCGAATAGCTCCGCTCGGATGCGACCGAATTGCCTCGATTTGGGCTAGTAAAGTTAGCATCTGATGTCTGCGTGACAACGGAAGTCCATACCAGTAGATTGCCTCTCCGTGTGACAACCCGCCGCACCACACCTGGAGTCTGGGGCAGATTACCGCCCTCGTCTCCGCTGTCATTACCAGACGAGATGTGAAGGTCGTTGGCAAAGAGCGACAGGCTCTCTCGTCGTGATCCCGCTTTCCGCATAGCCGCTTCTCGCGCAAAGTAACCCGTGTCTTTGCCGTTTGGGGGCGATGCTGGCCCAGGGCTTGCCATGGAGCTGTGTCCGCTGGCTGAGCTGGAGCTCTTCCGGCTGCGACCCTTGCGCAACCTTGCCCTATGCATGCTCGCAAAGTTGGGCTGTCCACCAGGCGAGAACAAGTTCGACCACGCGTTACCGGTATTGAGTCCGGGGAAGAGAGTGTTGGTCTTCGCCTGCGGGGTCATGATCATGGGGTCGTCGTTGTCCTCAGGGTCCAGTGGATCCACCTCGTCCGAAGAGCTACTAGAGTCCTCCGAGCCCATCATGTTGATGCTGCCGACGGAGCTGGACGGAGCGGTTCTATCGCCATGGCTCCAGCCTCCTTGCATGCTCACATTGGGTGAGTCAAGCAGCATCGAGTTGGAGCGAGGCTTCCGCGGCGGTATTTTGATGCCCTTCTGCGTGATCGTTGGCGAGGAATCCGGCGAGGATTGGTCGGGGAGGGTCGAATGGTGGAGGTTGGTGCAGGCTCTCGAGAACTCGGCACCGCGCGACCGTCGGGGCAGCACAGAGGCAGGCGACGCGTACGTGTTGCGCGAATCTAGCTGGGGCGAGAGGGGCACACGGGCAGCGAAGTGGGCGGGACTGGGCATGGGCGACTCTCGCGCAGGCATTTGCAGCGACAGGCCTCGCGAGAGGAAGTCGGGTCGACGCGGTGTGCTGGGGCTGGCGACGATGGTCTGATCATCTTTGGACATGCGAGCGGGTTCGCGGAATTTCGGAGAGGGCTCAAGACGGGGCGTGCTGTCCGAGAGCGACCGTGCTTTGGGCGAATTCGTCTTTGACGGCGTTGTCGCCAGTTGAGGTTGCGACTCCATCATGGCTGCCTCGCCCTGTTCGGCGGTACTGCGCTCGCTACCGATGTCTGGCGTCATCGTCAACATTGAGGTGGAAGGTTGATATCACAGGAAGCGACCTGAAACGCATTCTCTCAGCAGCGCGCTGTGATCAGAGTCAAATTGTCGGGGCTGGTGAATGGCCCGTCCGTTGAACGTCAATATCACGAAGCGGGGCCTCTCGTCACGTGCAAGCCACCGTCATGGGTGAACCATGCTGTGAGGCTTTACCTACAACCACGCCCTCTGAATGTCTCTGAAATTGAAACTTTTGTAGCACAGGCTGTTTGCGTCAACTGTAGTACTATACGAAACGTATTAACAACTTCCATACGCCTTCGGTATGATGTTGATCAGGACGCGTAGGTCAACCATAGATCACCCGTGCCTTCGTACCCCTGAACACTCTTTTCATGCTATTGCTAAGAGTCCACAATTCCTTGCACCCACTCAATGTCCTCCCAAGTTGCTTCCCAGATGTTGAGGACTGTCATTGTCCATTCCTTATCCTCGCGCTTCATGGTGCCAATGCAGCGGCAGATCCGCCCTTGCTGTAACAGTCTTCTGCTGTCGTACTCGAAGAGCTGCACCGACTTCCAGATAGCAGCATTATACACTGCCTTGATGTAAGGTGGCTTGGCGTGGAAGAGGTCGCAGAAGGTGAACTGCTGCTCTGTACTAGTCCGCTCAGAAGCAAGCACTCTGGCATACATCTCAATCATGATGTGCTTCCCTGATTTGGATGCCTGACAGCTTTGGTTAATCACTTCACCGATGCGGAAACATGTCCTGAGCAGTAGGTTTGACGAAAGACCGATGATGGGTGAGCGATCACGGACAGCCTCTGGAAATGGTGGCCTGACAAATGGTTTGCGTATCTTCGATGAACCTAGATCGCCAGTTGCGGCTTGCAGGCGCGTCGTGAGAGTGACCGGGGAAGTGAATTGCTTTGACACGGGCTGACAGGTCTTCTTGTCAGGACTTCCATCAAGTATGATAGGGGCATCCGCACAGGTGCCGGGAGGGTGACGCAGTCTGTCATCGTCCCTGTTCCCGGGCTGCACAGAGCGGTTCAAAGCAGCATTTGCAAGGTCAGGACATGCGTCGTCAATCTCGGATGTCAATGTGAGCAGGTCATCATCGTTGATGTCAAAGTCGAAGTCGTCTTGCGCAAGCATCGAGTTCTCAATCTGAAGTGGTGCGAGGGGAGCATCAAGTTGTTCAGGTTCACTGGTATCAAAGTCGTTATCGTCGAAATCAAACTCGCAGAGTGCGGTCGGATACTGCATAGGTAATGCGGCTACTGTATCTTGGCTAACATTTCGCATGGTTTCAGGACTCGCGAAACCATAATCTGTCACATTGCAGGCTTGACTGAGGTGGTCCTGGTGTGAAACCGCCGTTCCGTTGCCGGTTATTGTCGATCGTGGTGTTTGCGCATTCTCAACAAATATTGACTGCGGCGTTGTCAT